GGTTCAGCCCGTTTACATCAGTCAGCTGGACAGTCACAGTTGACTTGCGCTGGTCATTTGGGATGGTGCCATCAGACGCCAGGAAAACCAAGATGGAGGTAGGCACTCCTGGCCTGTGGAAGCACACCTGTGTGAGAAGACAAGGGAGACCCTGAGAGCGGGCAGGCAGCAGAAACACTTCCCTGCAATGAACTGTGGAAACAACCTTTCTGGTCCGATACAAACGAGAGGGAGAGAGAAAGAGTTAAGGCAGAGGGAGAGTGGCACGGGGTCTAAGAGTCCAGCAGATTGCAGGTGGACAGAGCAGTGAAGAGGTGGAAAGAGAGCAGGAAAGGAAGGGGGAGTGAACAGAGTGTGAAAATAGGCAGAAGCGATGAGGACGCACAGAAAGAAAGATGAGGAACACAGTCCTTTCCCACCTAATCTTCCTCCTCCCCTTTACCAGTTTTCCCCACATGTATCAATCCTTGCAGTAAATTTATGGCATCTTTCCAGATCCGCAACGCTTGTTACTCTTAACCTTGAGCAACGCCTGACCCAGGCCCAGATAATTCTTTTTTTGACCTTCCTAGCTAGGCTCCAACTTCCACACCACATGCCGTGGACTGGGCATGTGAGGCATCCAGAGAGCAGAACTACCAGCTGTACCACTGAAATATTTCCATTAAAAACAAAAAAAGGCCCCAGTAACCAGAGTGACTGCACACTGTCTGTCAGCCAACAAGTGGAAAGATTTGTGGCAGGAAGTCCTGCCTATTAGAAAAGCTGACGGTTCCCCACTTGTCTAGGAGCTCCCGAAGGCTATACGAGACAGCCGGGAAATTCATGGCATCAATCACTGCAGAGCAAACGTTCTGTGGAAGTAAGAGGATAGAAATGTTTTTCTCCCTCACCCTAGTACCTCCCACCCAGTGCTGCGATATGTTTTGATCCAGATCCACCCTATGGAGCGTTTTTGTGGAATGCAGGCTTAAACGGAGCCCAGAAATTCAAGGTCAACTATATTTCAGAGGAGGGCAATTCCCAGCTGTCTGGGCATGGACTGGGAAGCAGGTTTCCCACCTCGCAGGAGGTGCAATATGCAGCAACTGCACCCTGAGCAAGCCCTGAGGATGGCCGCCCCTCCTCTGCCTTTGCTCTCCCTCTGCCACCTCTTGTCTCATCTGGGGTTTACTTCACTGGGAGGAACAGCTCCAGGGAATGGCCCTTGCGGCTCGACATGGTCCCCAGGGGCTGAAACTGCCCCAGTTGTCTGTACCTCTGTACGTGCCAGGCGTCCGTCTCTGGACTGAGCACAGAAACTGGGGGCAAGAGGGAGAGAAAGGGGAGGGGAAATGAGGGTACAAAAAACAAAAGCCGCCAACCAAACCACACACAGGAGAGGAGGAGAGGAGAAAAAAAAAAAAAAGGAAGAAGCAAATCTAGCAGTGCTCAAAGCCCAGTACAGAGCAGGAAACCTACTCTGAGAAGTCTCCGAAGCCAGAGAGCTGCAGCTTGGCAAGACCTGGCCAATTTTAGCCACGCCGCCTGCTGCCCGCTCCTCCAAATGCAGTTCCTCAAAGGGGAGGAAAGATGTTTTGAGGAGTCAAGTGAGGTTTTCCATGGACTACACAGCTTGAGGTGGAGGGTTTCACCTTTCCCTTCCTACTGTGTGTCTGTTCAGAGATGAGGGAAAATTGTGGCCCTGAGCTAAAGCTGCAGCAGCTGACTTATCTGACTAAGATCCCATTTGTTGTTCCTTTTCTCATATTATGTGCTTGGCCACAGTGGGCTATATTCTTAATCTTTTTTCTCCCCCACCCCCCTTCCACCTTTTCATTTAATTTCCTGTGTGCTACACACCCTGACTTGCTTCCAAGTGATTTTGATTCCTCTCTTCTTCGGATGTGTTGGAACCCAAGAACAAAGCATGGCCACAGATCTGCAAATTGTAACGATTCCCATCTGCAGATGGATGCAAGGTGCATGGTGGAAGGTTCGTTAGGTGGGACAGACATTTGCACGTCCTGCCCTGGCCCTAGCTCTCTCACAACTGGGTGCCTATGGCTGGACCTAAGCTTTTTCCCTGCTCATTGGTGACACCTTCTGAGAAATGCTGTAGGAATCAATTCCTACTCTGTGATGAGACTTGTGGTGCTGTTTTATTGCAGGTGACACAGGTGCAGCTTTAAAATGGCCATGGGAGTGCATGGGCACAAAACAGTGTGCATGTTCACGTGCGTGTGAACAGCACAATTCCTGTTTGTGCAGGCAGACATGCTAGGCAAACTGTGAACAAGAATCTGTCTTTCCCAACCGAATATGTTACCAATCAGGCAAAATCTATTAAAAAAAAAAAAGAAAGAAAGAAAAAAAAGAAAGAAAGAAAAAGGGCATATTTATTACTAGTCCATAAATAATTTTATGGGCGGAAAATAATAGCACTCCTAAAGAGAGCATGGAGAACTAGTAATGAAAGTCTTTAATATAAACATCCATAGAGGAAGAGAGCTGACCACAAGCTCCAATAAAACTGGAACATGCTTTAACCCCTGGTGAGAAGTGGAAAGCAAGCTTTCATCTAGGTAGGGCAGAGAAGGAGAGTTCTGCTTTCTTGCTAGCAAAGGAAGAAAGGAGGTACATATGTCACAGCCTATGCCTGAGAAGGAAGTCAGAAAGTAGGTTGTAAGCACACAGACAGGGAAGAAAAAAAAATCCAGTTAAAGAAAGTTCTCTGGAGAGGCAGAAAAAGTCGGAGAAACAGAGAACTGAGAGCTAATAGCAATGTTTATTGACTAAGGTTTGATGATTCACTGAGTCTTCTGAGTGTCTCATCAAAAGTTCCTCTCTAGACAGCCTCGAGCAAAGCAGGGCAAGGTGCCCCTCATAAACTGTAGAGGAAGAAGCAAGCCAGATCACAGCTTTCCAGTAACACAAGGCAACAGCCACGAAACCTCTAAACTGGGGCTGCGGTCAGAAAATCAACGCTGTAAAAATTGCTTTGGCCTAATCCTCAGCTCTCCCGCCCTCCTCTGTCCTCCTCCTCTGCCTGCCGTGACAGAGAGGTTTGACCCTGCTTCAGAGCATGGAGAGTCACGGGCCGGCAGCCCGTCCAGGCTCTCTTGGCTGCCCCCATGGCACTGGGCGCTCTCCCAAAGGCAGCCTAAAGCTGCGGAGGCAGGCCCAGAGCCCACCGTCAGGCTGCAGGACCCAGCAGCTTGGAAATATAGAAACGCTTCCTTTAATCTGGAGGCACTGGGAGGGTAGAAGGACCTGCCTGCCAGGGCTGATTCGCTCTGGGCTCAGGGTGCTCAGTACCAACCTGGCACGCTCAGAGCCTTTCAGGATGGCAGCGTATATCTAGATGATGTCAGTTTTCTGTCTTTAAGTGGGCTTTTTATTAAGTTGAAGAGAAAACATTCTGATCTTTATCCTGGCATGTACAGAGAGCAGTCTTTCTCAGAGGCTCAGACAACACGTCACTCCAGCCCTCCCCAAAGAGACTGCTCTTCCTATAACGCTCGTGACTTCTGAGCTACCCTCTGCTGCTGTTGAGCTACCCTGTGCTGCTATTCACAGCTGTGAGGAGTGAAGGCAACTTGGGCTTTAAATACAGCTGAACGGGCTTATGCCCACCCTCTGCTGCTGTAATGGCACAGCCTGGCTGCAGAGAATTGTCAGAAGCAAGTTGTTTCTCAACTTCAAAACATTTCTGCAGGCTTCTGTTTTCAGGCACAACCCTTCTCCTGGTAACCTCTACTCAGGATGGGTTTGCAGTAACAGGTCCAGATCACAGTGCCAGTGGGGCAACCTACCTAAGCCACAAGCATTTGGATTTTGTTAAGGGTCAGTAGGACTCTTCAGTCCAATCTGAACAGTTTTTAAGGCTGCAGGACAACCCAAGGCAGAAAGGACTGGCCTTTGTCACTGAAATGCTGGAGCAAAGACAAGCAAATCCTTCTGTGCCTGAAGACACATCCTTACTTACCTTGAGCCAGACTCTCTCATCCAAGGGCAACCTCTCCCCATCTGGATCCTGAGCATTGCCTTGGCTGGGAGTACAAGGGAACCAAGCAGCAAAGGGAAGGTCCTTTGGCCCATCATGAAGGTGGGATTTACACACCTGGAAAGACAAGACGTTTTTTTACCTCAGAAGGAAGCGAGGAAATAAGAGAAAGATAGAATTAAACAGCATCTACAAAGCCTCAAGAAAGAGTCAACACAATGTGAAGCAGAGAGAAGAGCCCCAAGACAGTTCCTAGAATGAAAGTAACTGGGATGTGGGTCCCAGAAGCAGGAGCGGCACCTCATTGCCTACACATGCACAGGAGGCTTTTGCCCTTTTGGGGTGTCGTAAACATGCTATGTTGAAGTACTCTGTCATTTCTATGGGGCTGAGCAAGAAAGAATGAACTAGGCTGTAAGACAGTAGGAATGACCATGGCCTCCAGATTTTGACTGGGCTATCAGGATCTGAAGATGTGATTCATTTGCCTGAACACCAGCCTTCGGTGCAACTTGATGACCTGGGGCATCTGCGACATCCACATAGCGCTGACCAATGAAACACAGGAGATACTTGTGCCCTTCTAGAGGGGAAGACACCAGAGCCCCGGGCTTCTTACTAGACATATATAAATGGGCAATTGAATCATGCTCTGGGTCTCAAGAAGATGGTTCCTTGCATCCAGTCGATAGAAGTGCGTAAGCACAAAGGGCTAAACGTATGCCTTCTCTACAGATTCTTTTTTCCCCTTTTTCAGCTCCTCAGGAGGGAATATACAGAGTATGTTAACACTCATCAGGCAAAATCCTATCCTAGATCCACAGGCCCTGTTCCAAAGATAGATATGAAAGATGGAAATTTTTACATTGATTTTTCATTGGCTTCAGATCATACATTTTGAGAATAGCACCTATGCTGACGTATGAGTGATTTTATCCTTTCAGGCCCTGACCTTAAAAGCTGTTAGACTTATGGGTTTTTTAAGCAGACACAATGGAACTACTCACACCCTCAAAGTTACGTGTTTAGTCGGTGAGATGGGGGTGGTCACTGTTTAACAAATTTCATGACACAGGCAAGGTGCTCCCTGTTCTTCCCTCTGCATACTGCATTTCCTAGCTCTACAGACTACTGAAAAGGCCGGGCATAAGAAAAGTCCAGGTCTTCTTCTGGCTCTCTGCATGAGAATACAGTAGTCAATGAATACTTCTAGAGCTGGACTGAAGATCTTATTTCTGCCTCAGTAAACTCATGGAGCAGTGAGTTCCACAGCTTAACTACGTGGACGTTGCTAGAAAAATCTTTTCTTTCATCATGCCTTCTCTCACCTTCACAACAGGCTCTCCAGTCACCAAGGAAACAGGGCACGACTTCTTATCCTGATGGGAGGCATAGGCTTTTGCTGCCCACTGGTCGATGTATCCTTCAGGGGTATAGAGACCGCAGTCCAGGATGCTGTTTGCTTTCTCGAAAGGCTCGCACACTCCGTCTCCATCATGCACGTAGCATAGGCTTGGCTCCCCTGCAAAGAGACCCACAGATGACCTGTTTACAAACCAGGTTCAAGGCGCACACACCCTCCTCATCTCCTGGGCCCTGCAGTACTTTGACCAGGGCCACCTTTCAAGGCAGTCTTTGAGAGGGATCCAGACACACACTCTACCCAGAGAGAGCCCCAGTGAGCAGAAAGGTGCATACTGAGATTAGCTCCCAACCCGGCTACGGCTGGCAGAAAGCATGCTGGCCACCTGGCACAGGGATTTCCCATTACAAGGACTGGACAAGCTCCATGGATCATTCTGACTGAAGATCCATGTTGTCTTGCAGTGAAGTAAGTCACCACGTGCTCTGAAGAGAGTTATCGGAGAGGTGTGAATAGCGCACCAGTTTGATTCCTGTCTGGAAAGGATAAGTCAATCCATTTGGACTCACCAACACAGTTGAAGCCTTTTTCCTTTTTACACATCCTGGAACAGCCATCTCCATCCAGCAAATCCCCATCATCACATTCCTCCTCCAAGCTCCTAAGAGAACAAAACCAAATGTGTTAACACTGCCCCTGACTCAACGCCCCCTGGCTGCTTCAGCCCCATGAGAAGTGAGGACTCAGCCTCTTGAATTCATTTCCACGGGGCAAGGGAGAAGAGAAACAACTCCATGTAATAGGGGAGAGGAGAGAAGAGACCATATCTTCTCAGGGGACGAAAATGGGTAGAAAACACAGAGTAGGGAAAAAGGCAAGTCTATACCATGCCTAAAGTCTGAGGCAAGAACTATGGCAGAAAACAAAGCTATACACAACAGAGAAAAGTGAGTAAGAACGGAGCAGCAGGAACTGGAGAAATCTAATGCTGGAGACAGCAGGAGGTTCTCCAAGATGGGGCTGGTGCTTCTGTGGGAGCTGGAGAAGGGGAGGAAGGGGAAAACAGAGGGAGAAAGTTAGCCAAAGATGGGAAAAAATCAACCCTGAGTTGAAAGGCATGGCACCTCAGAAGAAAACAAACACACACACACCCACTCATGCAGTTTCCATGAGAAGGTTCAGCCCTCCTACCAGAAAAAGTAGATCTGATGGGACAAGCTGAAAGAAATGCCTTGATTCCTGCATATTCATACATGCACAACTACATAGAGTTATGTACACAAGGAGCAAAAGCTTCTCACACATACATTTTGTGGTGCCCACCTATCTCCACCCATATCTAACATGAAAAATCAAGTGTTCCATTTTCCCATCTTTGGCTATTCCACACAACTGTGGAAAATTTCAATAGACAAGGCTTCCTACAAGGCCTTCCCCTCCACAGTTCAGGAAAAGGAATGTCTGTCACATATCTCAGCAGGCTTCTGCCCATTTCTGCTGCTTCTTCTAGTTTCCTATTGATGCTAACAATGGAACATAATGTGGTCATTTGCTCTCTCTGGATCAAGTCTTCAGCTGGTATACATTTACGCTAAAACTATATCATATTACATCAATTTAAGATCTAGCCCCACTGTAAGCCTTTTTCCCTTGGTTGGCCTTTACGGTACCACAACCTCTCCTGCACTTCCTTTAGCAAAGGAAAAGCAGGCAATTAAGACAGCTGTTTGCAAAGGAAAATGATTTGTAGTAAGCTGGAAGTTGAAGTCTGAAAAAGCTAAAATATGGAAATTTGGCAAAATCATCCCAGATAGGGAAGTTTAACCATTGGAATTGCTCACCGCGGGGTGTGGTGCATTTCTCATCACTTGGAGTTTTAAGTAGAGATTGGACAGCTCTTTAAGCACATCGAGGCATACAGAGCTGCGTTTGCTGCAAAATCTATTTGTGCAAGGCTACCATGTGCCCTGTGCAAAAGGTTACACTGGATGATCCCAAAGATGGATCCCTCTGGAGTCAAACTCTGTGACTGTTCACGGAGAGGGGCCAGAATCCAAGCACTGCAGCCACCACACACCAACATAGAAAAAGTTCAAGTTAGACCCCTCATCCAAACCCTGCTCCTCAAAAAGACCATCTCCATCTTCTGTAGACATGGCATTTTATAAAACACAAGCTTTCAGTCCAGTCTGTTGCAAGCAATCAATGCTGCTGTCTTCAGTCAAGTGTTCCTGGGTGGAGGACCAACCAAGAACTTCTCTTTACAGCAGAATGACCTGATAGCCTAAAGAACCTCCCTTGAGAGCATGGGATTCTTAACTTACATGGTCACCTTCCCATCCCCACAGTAGGGAGCTCCATGGACATGGATTAGCGGTGGGGAGGCGTCTCCCAAGTTCGTCCCAGAGACTGCCTGCACCTGGTAGCGATACACCTGCCCAGGCGTGACTTCCCTGCAGAAACACAGAGGACTCAAACAAAAGCAGGAGAGAACAACCAATACATCTGCAACAGATTTGCTCACCACAGTTACAGCAATCACTGTACCAAGCAGCATCATAGTTTGACATATGTCTTCATATTCTAAACTGCCAGAGGCAGAGACTGTGGGAAGAGGGTTTCTGCCAGGTCATGCAGAGGAGCCTGCCATTTATTTCCCTAGAGCTTAAGCTGGACAGAAGTTGCATTAACTTGAACAATCATTTTACTGGTCATGTTGATGGGGAAATGTTTCCAGGTTTAATGAGTTCCTTCTAGTTAGACTCAGCTCCTTGGCAAGGGTTGTGCTACGAGTTTACTGAGGCCTTCTCTTGATGCTGAATATGGAATCGGTTCACAAGATTGAACATTTCTGTAAAAAGCATTCACGGGTCCACATGCAGAACCTGAGAAGGTCATCAAAACAATTGCAACCACCCACTTGGCCTATGATGAAGCAATCTTGCCACTCACGTGTCAATGAACTTGCGGTGTGCTTGTGCCGTTGTGGCAGGGGAGCCATTAGCAAACGGAGGATCACGGAGGACTCGGTATTGTATCAGTTTGCAGGCGGAGCAGAGAGAGCTATGAGGCATGGAGGTCAACAGGGCTGTATCTATCTCCATCCTCTCATCAAAGGTGTAGATTTTGACTCCAGATACCTTCTTATGGATGTTGAGCTTCACGGTCAAAGGGACGTCACAGAAGGTGTCTAGGGGGCCCAAATGGATGGATTCCCCATGCTCTGTCAGGATTTCAATGTCAGACAGTGCCTTGGGAGAGTCCATGGAGAGGTAAGTGGTCCAGAGCGTGAGAGAATCTGGATAGACAGGGTGCAGGAAGCGCAACTCCAGGATGCAGCCGTCAGGCTGGGGGCAAGGCACAGTCATGTTCATGTGGTACAGGTGGAGCTCTGGACTCCAGGCCTGCAAGCTGGGCTCACAGGGCTGATCCACATCTGGGGGCCCTAGACAGAGAGACAAAGAGGAGACTGATGAGAGCTAGGGGACAGCTGACTTCACAGGAGACCGTGAGTGGCAATCTGCCCTACGGGTACCTCATAGGCATGGGATCTTATGCATCTCTATGCTATAGCTGCAAGTTCCTATGCTACACAACAGCCACACTGTTGTGTACCCACTACAGGCATGTTCCAAAGCTGGTAGTATCTGCCCTCAAATCCCAGGAAGCAATAAATAGCACTAGTTTTCCAGCTACTGGATACAGACACAAACACTGGCTCTGCCAAGTCTGGTGTGTCCCCTAACAAACTGGGAGATATGGACAACAGTACCCACACTACAGCTCTGTCTCAGTGCCACCTGCAGCTCTAGCAACAGTCTGGACACAGTTGGGGAGCACATGAAACTTGCTCTGTAGTCTCATGAGGGTGGAAAGCCTGCCAAGAGGGCATCTGATACCTTAAAACTTTTGAGTCCCTAAAGCTGAATGGATTTGGACAGAGTACAGAGACGCTAAGCAGAGCAAAGACAGATTGAAGCTTTCCTGCAGCAGTAGCTGAAGAATCTTGTTTCTTCTGGGAGAGTGTTACAGGCACATGCTGAAATAGGTTGTGGGCAGGAAGGGGCCAGGTCCAAAACAAGCCAGGGAAACCAGCTCTGGAAGGCTGTTTCTCCACTAGGACCTCCAGGATGATGACCAGGCTGACCTCAAATCTCCAGTCTGCCTCCCTTAGTGAGTGAACTAGCACTCAGAAAAAGAAATGAACAGTGTTGGGCTTTAAGTCTCAAGAAGTATCACCTGATTTCATCATCCTGTAATAGAAATGCTCTTGTTTTCAACAAGCACTGCAAGCATTTCTTAGAGCCCAGCATCAACCCCAAAAACGCATCCATTTAACGCTACTCTTCTAAAAATGATAAAACCTGTCTCTTTTCTCACCAGAGAAATCATGCACTTGTGATAATTGCAGGCTCATGCAAAGGAGATAATAACATGCAATACTTCCAGAAGTAGTTCTAATTTGCCAGTGAACCAGACAGGCAGGGGAAAAAGGAACCACTAACAATGAGCTAAGCTTTGATTTGTTCGGTTTCAGTTAGTAAGCACAGACTTGCCTTTTTTTTTTTTTTTTTTGCTCAACTTGTGATCCTAATAAGAGAGATACTTCCATAATCTAGCAAATCCAGAGGTGAGTTTTTAGATCCTGAATATCACATACATCCTGATACTCCTGTTCTCAAAGCATGGGCTTCATCCCAAAGGGGCAATACAATCCACATTGCACTTTCTCACTCTGGCACGTTTTCAATCAACATCAGTGGCTCAGAAACACATGTGAAAGCACAGAACTAACAGATCCTCCGGCTCCACATGGTTCAACTGCAAATGCACTACAGGCAGTCCATGGGATCGTTTCACATGCTCTCCTGCCTCTTCTGCTGTGACCTCAGAGGAGATGATACAGCATGAAAAGCCTTTGTTGCAACTGCTTGCCCCTGCAAGACACTGTGCCTAGATAGCCAGTGAGATGGGCCTCCAAAGTGGCATCTGGCTCTTGGCACATGAAAAGCTGAGCCACCCTGATCTTCACCTTGCTAGTGAAGAACTGTGTCCAACATAGATTGCTCAGGATCTGGTATGGACTCAATGGGATTAAGCAAGGGGATCATCCCTGCTACCTTCAGACCGGCTATCTCAAAGCCTGTGAATGCCCCTATTGTTTTGGGTGAGTCCCTGAGATGTATGTAACGTTAGGCTCTTATGAAAATGAAATAAGACTGTCTTCTGCCCAGTGTCTCTTCCTTACACCTATCTGGGAAGTGACTGGAGTTACTGTCATGGTGCCAGGGCTCGTTTGCCAAAAAACAGCTGGCAGGGTGCCTCCAGGGCACCTGGAAGTCCTTCCTGCACTATTGAGCTATAAGAAAAGTAGTTTCTTTTTCTTTTCCCAGCAACATCTCATCTCTGTCTGGGGGATTCATAGCCAGGAAAAGAGAGAAGGACTTCACCTTCTGCCTCTTCTGGGGTCCAGTAGCCAGAGGAATCACAGACTCGAGGGGAAGAGGCCTCATGGACATACTGGTGGAAAGTGCCATCTTCAGCACAGTCTTCACAGAGCGTGTCAGGCTCCCTGCAGACACGAGAGAAAGAGACAAAAACACCTGCATGTATAATCATGACTGACTCATTTTCCATCCAGTTTGTCCAGGCAGGATCAGATGGGAAGCTGGAAGATCAAGAGACTAAGTTCTCTGGAAGCTCCTTGGCATGTCCTTTTGCTTAGAATGAGCTCTGACAAAAATAGGAAAATAAGAGTGACCTTACACAAGCTAGGTTTAATCCCTTCTCTTCCACAGGCTCTCTGGGTAGTCTTGGATGAGCCATTGAGTCATCTGTTTCCTATCCATGAAGTGCAGCTAATGCTTCCTGGGGCACTTGCCTCTGTAGTAGGATGGGTGCATTTAGGCCTATCCCAGCTAAGCTCCAAACTCAGGATTTTTTGCTTTCAAGATTGCTATGATGCCAGGAATGTCAATTAAAGGGAGTCCCACTGTGCTAATCAGGAAAGAAAAGGGAACTTCTACATGATAATTGTCTGCCTCAGCCATTCTCCTTGGTTAGTCTGTCAGCAGGGAAAGCAGAAACTTCCCTCATAGGCCAGCAGGTGAGCTGTTTGGGAAAGGGATCACACAACTTGTGAGAGGCAAGGACTGGATTTGATGACTCAGTGTCTGCCTTCTAGGCCCATTTTTTCTCGCTCCTAAACTGCCCCACTCCCCAAAGCCGTTTGTTTCAATGATTCGAGTCCACCCAGCCATCAGAGCCTCTCTGTGCCTGGTGGGATGACAGATCTGTGCTCTCATTTCCTCTGGGAGGAAAGGTCCTTCATGGAGAACATCGTTTCTTTGAAATGGCACAGCAAACACAGAAAACACTGGTTTGCTTTGAATTGGGAAGGACAGCCTTGTGAAGCAGCTTTAAAACACATCTAAAAAGCTGTTTATCTTTAATATATGCTTCAGGTCCAATAATAAAAGCACAGATCTATATCCTAAGAAAAGCTGAAACACTTTACTAAAGGGAGCTGCTGAATGGAAGCATCAGCTGGTGTCATATTCAGGTCTCGGGGACTATTTTCTAGGCGAGGAATAATCAAGAGGATATAGCAGACCCCCTCCAAAGCCCGAGGGCTTTTCATTGCCATCACAGGCAATGGTCCAGACTTTTGCAAACTGATTCTTAAAAGTGGCCAGTACCTACCCTCAAGGTGAAAACCTCAAGAACCAACCATCTCTAGATCTCCAAGCACCAATCCTCCCAAATCACACTCAGGGGATTACAGATGTGTGGTCACATCACCAGAGGTTGATACACCCACGTGTTAGAGAGGGTGAAGGAAGAGCAGCAGCTCTGGACTTCATGACTGCATGTGGCTTGCGTGCTGAATGATTCAGGTTCCTCAGTACAATTTCTCCAACTTGAAAAGTTTTCTGACCTACCCCCAGTTACACAGCGAGTCTATGACAGTGCTGGGAATGAAACCCAGCTTTTGTGGTTCGAGCTCCCTGCCTTAACCACAAGGCTGCATTTCCTCCTGGTAAATGGCTAGTTTATACAATAAGTGCTAAATGAAGCTCATTTTTCATTCTGTGATTGCGCTCTTGGGTTTAGAAATTGGCATCGTCTCCTGACCCTCTTTGGCTTCCTCTCCCAGCACCCCAACAGCAGAAGGCTTGTGGGAGAGCCCACATGCAAACACAGCCATCAGAGCAGTACAGCTCTCATGTCGGTGGGCTCTGTTGGAGTTGGCAAGGAGGGAAAAAGGGTTGAAGGGGAGGCTGGGCCTCATTTTCCCTCGTCACCAGGGCAGCTGCAGAAATAGCTACTCAATCCCCACCACTACCAGTACAAAAGGACTAGGCGAGACGTGCCAGTTGGCAGGGGGCACGAGGGATATGCCAACCCACCCTCGTTGTCCTCACTGACTGCTGAAAAGCCCTCCCTCCACCGCCTGCCTGCCCCCAGCTCTGTGCCAAGCAACTTCTGCAGTGGATCCCTGTTCAAATAAACAGTGTCAGGCAAAACGACCAGCATGCAACTTGTGAGGGCTCCGGTGTTAGTGGGGGACCAGAGGAAGCACCACAAATGGGCTCTGCATCTCAGGGAGCCTTGTGAGGGTTTCTCGGCCTTTTCAGCAGGCAGAGAGTTCCTGCGCAAGCCCGAGACCATTGCAACAGCGGATTTCTCCCCTTTTCTCTTACCTCTCATGTATGACGCCGCTGATGGGAGGCAGCCAGTAGATGCTGAGGGAGTCCTGTGTCTGCCCCGTGACCATGGGGGGAATGGGGATGGGTGCAGGCTTCTTGCTCTGGCCCCAGCGCTGGTACACCAGGTCCAGGTAGCAATGCATCCGGGCCACTTGATTGGGAGTGAAGGTGTTGGTGCAGTCATCGTCTAGAGAAAGAGAGGGCAGGCTGAGGGCCACAGGGATAGCTGGCAGAGCATGGTGGCATGCATGCCTTCTGATCATTAAGGCCTGTTTGTGGGACATCAGTGGAGAGCTGGGGGCACCAGCGTATGGTGGCCGGTCTGCCCGCACTCTCTCATGTCATGTGTTTCCAATGCCACAAGATGGCACTGCCTCAGCAGCACGACAACCCTGCACTTGCCATGGCTGCACTGGGAACACCAGGATTCTTCCTACTGCTGTGTCCTCAGAGATCATCACCTCACTCATGCCAGCTTTTACGCCTTGGCAGTGCTATCGTCTCAAAGGAGTTGTACTCGGTTACCAGAAGGCAAGAGAATTGCTCTCCAGTGCTCAGTCCTCCTGGGCTGCCAGGAGAAACATCAGTCCTCCTCAGCACTCCTTTGAAAATTAAGCCAAAAGGGCTTAACCTGCAGGTCCAAAATTTATATTAGGAACCTAATAATATAACCTAATATAACCTAATAAGGTGCTGCTTCAGGAGCTTAGAGTGGAGAATGAATGCATGCCACCAGACAGGCAAGACTGGACTCAGTATGTTTCCAATGATCCACAGAAAGGCAGGGAGAGACGGATGGAAACAGAAATCTCTGTGAAAAGGGGGCCAAGTTGTTTCGGCAAGCACAGACTGTAACTTCCCCCATCCCTGACCATCGGGAGGGATCAAAGACCAAATTAGGTAGGGCATGAGGGAAGCGATTATCCACAAAAGTGGAAGCAGCAAAACTCAACTTTACAGTGAAGATCACCCACTATAAATTGTAGTGAAAATTGCTCATTACCTGTGTAACTCATATAGTTGTTGAAGGGTGTTCCAGTGAAGTGTGTCTGGCCACAGGTATCATTGGTAGGGTCTGGATCCCGACAGAGTTTACTCTTTGGGGTTGGGGCAGTGTCAGCACAGAGGTCTCCAGTCTCCATAGAAGGAGTTGTCTCCCTGCAGGGATCGTCACAAGATTCCCGCTCGCTCACTCCCTTAAAGACATGGTACAGCCCTAGGACATGTCCCACTTCATGGATCATGGTGTTCGTGTGGCCATGCATACCGTAATAAGCAGGATTAAGGACAACTCCACCTAGAATTATAAGCACACAGAATATCATCAAGAAAAAAAGACACTGGGCAGCTGCCATTACTCACTTTTGCGAGCAACAACTCTTTCACTGTGCTTTCTGGTCACAAATGAAGTACCAGATGGAGACCTGAAGATGGACGTATTCAACATCTTGTAGGATGGGAAGGGAGCTCCTCTGCTTTAAAAGAGGGTGCGTGGGTTTTTTTTGTTTTTTGATGCCCCCTCCTTCCAGTCTTTAATATTTTAGTTACTGTTTCCCTCTGTACCATTTCATGCGTCTATAATTCTAGTGTCTGCTCTGGTTCACACTAACACACAACCCTAAATGGAGTTCTGGGGGGGGGGGCACCAAACAGGGACTAATCTTTTGAACTAGAGGGCAAAAGATCTTCTTAAGCCTAGATAGGTTACCTACAAGCCCAGGTGGCTAAAGTATGCATGTTCCCACAGCTGATAAAAGAATGAGGTGCCTAACAAAGTACTAACACAGTTATCTCTGTCAGCTAGAAGCAGCCTTCAGCACGAGTCCATTTAAAGACGCAAATGCATTGCTTCTGGTCCCTACTGAGACAGCATCAGTGGTCTATTGCTTCATGCTCTGAGCCAAAGGGCTAAATTCAAACTCGTATGAGGTGATATCACAATCCACTAAGCTCCTAGCACAAACTTGACTCTGAATTCACTGTGCACTTTGGAGTGGGATTTCCTAAAACAGAGCTTCTGAAGATCCCCTCCTTCCTTTCAGAGAGATCTGCATGTGGATGGGGAGCACGATGGGGATCATAGCAGAACCTCCCATCCACTGCAGCTGCAGCACAAATGGCCCTGATCCTCTTCAGCTGAGGCACCCCAGCCCTTTGACTCAAGAGGGCACAACAGAGTAATCTCCAAGCCTGCTTGATGCAGGTTCACCCTCCAAAGATGCCACAGCATGGGCATGGACTAAGCCCCAGCAGAGATTGCCCAGAGCTGCCATCAAATAGTGAGAGCAACAGCACAGAGCTGGATAGGTCCTGCAGTAATCCTCACCTAAGCTGCCCTCTTGGCTGCAGGACTGGGTGTTTTCTTCTCCTGACCAACTGCCTGCAAGTGGAAGGATGGGAAGAGCAAGGAGCAATCACCCTGAGGAAAGCTAAGGGGGGCAAAGCCTTCCCTTGGCACTCTACCAGGGTATCTGACTCCTGCCCCAAGATGCATGCCCTGTTCTTACAACTCGGCATTACATCTGCCAGGAAACTTTTCATTGGGGATGATGGTGAATGAAACTTGCCTTTCTTTTCCTTTCTTGCTCTGTTTTTATTTATGTATTTGTTTAGCCTAAATGAAAGCCTCTTCAGAAACTCTGCTTCTTTTCTCCCTATTTTGAAGCTTTTCAATGGAGATTTCCTCCCCCTTCCATTTTTTTTTCCTTGCCCCCACCCCCCACTTCCATTTCGCCATAGGGTGGAGGAGGGAGGACTAGGGGGAAGATTAGAGAGATGGAAGGGGAAAGAGGATCGCAGCATGTGTCTAGGCTGACTCCAGGCAGTCAGGCAACATCTCTGTGGCATGGCTGGCTGTTTTTACCCAACTACTTTTAACCTAGACAGTTTGGATGGTAGTACAGTGAATATTTGGCTCCAGTACAGCTTGCTCCCTCCTTTGCAGGGCCCGAGAGAATTTATTGTGCCAGCTACCTCACAGCAAAACCTCTGCTACTGCATCTCTGCTGCTGATTGCTGCCCCTGCCAGTGAAGTTAAAACTGGCAGAGGGCCACTGTGCAATCCTTGCTCCAGCCACAGTGTAGACAGCTTGAAATTTGCTCCTGGATCAGCTCCGTACACTACTGGACCACCTCACGTCCTCAAGTACAGGGCATTCCTTCCAAGAGAGGGCTTCCTTCAGATCACAGTGTCCTTGGCAGGACACCAGGAGGACTGGGACTCCTCTGGTGGAGCCATGCTGGATGAACACTAGGTTAGGATTGGAAAGGGGCCTTCAGGGATGCTCTGAGCAACTCCCTCGAGCCCAACAGGGTTGCAAGAGGGTTAAGCAAAAAGGGCAGCATCATCTATGGCACATCCCACTTGCATGGCTCATGGAGGGGCTAGGAGATGACATGAACCCGTGAAGTGGCATCATGCCCTAGCTAAATACTCATGTTGCTTGTTCTTCCTCCTGTTTCCTTCCCACAGGGCATATGCAACACCCAGGGCAGCTTTTTAGCCTGAGGCGAAAGACAGGTTACACAGTAGCTGTATTCCCTTTCACGCCAGCTGTAATGTCTCAAAGTAGAGGACTCCTCCTTGCACCCTCCCTCAGCCAGCTCTTGGTCCTATAGCTCTCTGATTGGAGGTGGGCCACAAGGAGATACACAGAATGCCAAATCCTGTGGGGCCTTCATGTTCAATTGTGTCTCTGTCATCCATTAGGTTTTTGCATACCACTCCCCCTCACAATTCCATTCAAACAGGTTGGTAAACACTATAGATAGCAGAGGGCACCCCATCAATGCAGAACTCAGTGGACACATAAAAAGCTGCTTCTCGTTTTTACTAAAAGCATAGCATGAGAGGAGATAGAGAGAAGAGAGAGAAAAGAGAAAGAAAAGGCATCTCTGCAGCCAAACCCAAGCCTGAACAAGGCAGGGGGCTGCCTGCCCCAAAGGGCTGAAGAGGAATGTTCATGCAGAAAGAAAAAAAAAAAAAAGGTACATAAACAAATAAACAAGATGTGAAGACCCTGCACTCATTCTGCAGCACTGACCACAAGGAACAGGTCTGAGCACTAGGGGCCCTGAGGGCCCTGCAACCTAAAAGTCCTCCTTCCAACAGAAACCTGAAGCTCTTCCCGTGTAGGGGGAATAAATGGGACTCCAATAAGAGGAGGGAGAAAACTGTTGCAGAGGCAGGATGCCAAGACTCCATACCCAGTCACTCCCTCCTCTCTGCCAGCTCCCCCTATCCCATTCCTCCCTCACACTCCACAAGAAGAGTCATATTTTTAGTACTTTTTATAGCTAATTAGATGGAGGGATTAGAAACAGCATGAGAACTCTGTCTTCTTTCCAGAAAATCCCTATCCCTCTGTTCTCTGTCCCCACAGCTCCCTGGTGAGCAAAGGACTCCAGAGAGCTCCCAGTTTTGGAACAGGAAGTTGTATTTTCCCTCTGCAGGGTCCTCACTGTGAGGGCAAGATGTGGAATTATTCATAACAACCACTTGCAACAAAATCAGCCTCCACTTTCCCTTCTCTGCAGATCAGGCCTTCCTCCTCCCTTATCCCTTTTCCCTTATCTCTGTATCCTTCTGCTCTGAGAGAAGAACTGAATTGGGCTTTAAGTGAAGTCTGCCTCTCATGTCTGAGAGCCAATCCAAAGAGGGTCCCCAAGGTCAGCTTTTACAGCTAAGCTAAAAATTTCAATGTATGGTCCCCATAACATCTATGGAGTCCAGCACTCCAGAGCATGTGAACCAGAGACTTCCTTGGACTTGTCCGCCAAACTCAGGCCAGGCAGCTGGAAAGCTGAGGGTCTGACCTCGCAATGTCCTTTCCCTTCTGACTAGACCTACTAGTTACAACTGCAGAGCTGGTAACGTCCCAAAGACCAAGCCCCAGCTCCACTCACACAGCAAGAGATGCCCAGTCCACAACTGCAGTGAATGATTTGCACTGGCATGGACCCTACTTCACCCCCATGCACACTTCTCTCAGAGGCCCCCAGAGGCAGGACCACGCTGCCCTGGTTCTGACAATGATGTGATCTTTCCTGCTCCACTCTCCTTTGAGGATAGCAAGAACTGTGGAGCTTGAAGGCACAAATGATAAGCAAGAAGCCCAAAGATGATGTTCTCATGGCATCTCTCTAATAGAAGATGGATAGTATGAACCTAAAATCTTTTTTTCCTATGGAAAAAAAAAGCTCCCAGCTCCTGGGAAGGAGCTATTCTCTGGTCTACCAACACAACACAACAGTTGGACAAGTGCAATGGATCTCCAGCAATCTAGTGCCAGGTTTCTGGTTCAGGGCTGTTGTGGAGAGCTGATGCTCAAGACAGCATGGGATCTTTAAACAGCTGTGAATGTAAGCAAACCACAAACCTAAATTTGTATCACAGGCCCAGTCTTCCTCAAACACTGACTCATGGCAATTAATGGAACAAACCCATGAAAGTTAGTCAGACAGGAAGATGGCCATTGCATAAGGTACCTCTGATGGAACAACTGGCCCTCCTTCAGGATCCACTGACCTCAGTCAGATATGTGAGCTGACCTCAGCTTATATAACTACAGCAAGTAGTTAAAACTAAACATTCATGATTCTGTTGCCTTTCATCCATGTTTATGCTAAAAACATTTCACCTGCAACTACATATAAAATGTCTGCATTATTACACTGCTAGGGTTTTTTGAGACCAGGCAAAGAACACTGTGTAAAGCTAATTTTTTTTTTTTTTTTGTATAGGACAGGAATTCTTTAACTCCATGTTTTTGTAGTTAAAAGATTTATATGTAAATTTTCAGAAAATTAAATCTGGACTCCAAGCTGAAACACTATAAATTTGAGAAGAACTCACTATGATTATGGTGGAAAGAGAGAGAGAGAAAGTATGGTTCGGTGGAGCTGTGCAAACACACCTGACATTTTCTGCCTCTACTGCTAGTTGTTTGTCTGCAAGCTGTCTCTGCCTACAACTTCTACAGCAGCTGAAATACTGCTGTACAAATTTGATAGACCAGTTCACCCTCTCTCAGCCAGTCTTTATCCCTTATGCTTCTATGACTGTTGTTGCTGATCATTGGTATTGCTACTGGACTACAATCAGGACTGAGTGCTACAGGAACATAGACCATGAAGACATCTTGGACACACAGAGTGCATGGCTCCAGAAAAACGCAAGAGGCAAATCCTGGCAGACTTGGCACATTCACAAATAGGAGATTGCACTGATAAGGCAGGCAAGTTGTACTTCTGAGCACAGCACCGAAACAATTTGCCATGTTCTGAATAGGTATGAATGCAAAGGAGAGATCTGATGAAGGCACACTTGTGGCCAGGATTTCCAAGGCCAAGGCAAAGCACAGGAGAAAGCACTGAAAAAAGGGGGCACTGACTTTCAGAGGCTGTGATGCAGAATAGAACAGAGATAGGCTAGGAAAAGGTTTGAAAGAGAAATGGGCAGCTTTAATTTGACAGAACTAGTTAAACTGCTGCCTCAAGAGTTGGGCCAATGCTCCTAACAGTGCATGTTGAGTGGAGAGCAGAGCAAGGATCTATTTGTCAAGGGGGTGCAATGCTGTAGTTACAGTGAGAGAGACGTTAAGAGACAGTACATGAATTGTGATAGACAGGAAACAGTATACCGGTGGGGGGGGTGTCTGGTTTTGCAACACTGAGTCTTGGGAGATAGTAAACCATCCCTAAACCTTCAGACAGAAATATGACATTCAAACTTAGTCGGGAAAATAATTTGAAGGATAGCAATAGATCCGAGTCATCAGCATAGGAATGCTGTCTGAATTTCTGGTAGCCCAAACAAAAATGTAGGTGAAGAGAATGGAATGAAAAAGAAAGTTTATTGAAGACTTTCAGAAAGTGAAGATGACAACGGGAAGGCGAGGAGGACCTTCTTGAAAGACACACTCAAAGGTCAGAGGATGGTTTCCATGGAGTTCAAAGGGCAGATGGCAGATCGAAAAACACCTAGAATGGAACTGATAGAGAGCAATTTGGAAACAGTACATTTAGTGAGCTTGGGGTGAGAGGAAGAGTTCAGAGAGAGGAATGGAAGGCAGTTGGAGAGAATAAGTCACATGGTACTTCTCTTGAAAACACCTAAGAAAATCTAGCTCCGAGAGACAAACGGAGACAAGAGGAGAGCAAAGCTTGACGTAGCCGCTGTAGTCGCCGGAGTCAAGAGGCTTGAAGAACTTGAAGAAGTTGAGTCAAACTCAGAATCAATTTGATTCAGTAGCAAAACTGAAGCAGGAAAGAACAGCTGGGGTGAGGGGGAGGGGAGTTGGAAATCAGTGTGACATTTCTGCTCTACAGGAGCAGACAGTGGTGGAGGCTGTGGGCTGGCATGGATACCCTTGAAGTACCAACATCAGGAGAGGCAGGACGGTGGCAAGAATCAGTGCAAGGAAGGAAAGAGCGTGTGTTCTTCGGGACAGACTCCTCTCCTATGCTAAGACCTGTCTCCTCCCTGATCACTGTCATGTCCTTATACAAAGCTTGGGAAAGTTTCTCATACTACTTTCACTCCTCCCAAGGTTTTCCTTGCTCTTTATTCACTGCTTTTCCTTCCCATTTACTCAGATTCTCCAGCAGCCTCTGGTGAGAGGCTTTGTCAAAAGCCCTAAATCGATGACCTCCTCAGCCCTAAATTTCATCTGTGCTGACAATAATAGATGTCTTGCGTGGTATGAAACACTTGATGAAGTGGTGGAGTCCACTGTTTACAGAGAACAGAATCCATCACCCTCCCTTCCGAGCTCATTAAATCTAAAATCAAGGACAGTCTTCAACCAAAGTCTTCAGTCTGTGCCAGAGTCTCAAAGAAGTTCAGATCCAGCTTCAATACTTCACAGCTCTGGCGCCAGAGCCAAGACAACACCCCTTTTCCCCTGAACTTTAGTGGTAAAACCGTGATCCAGTATTTCCAGATGGTGCCACCTCTGGATTGGAACTGGATGCAAACTCTGGGACCAGAGCTAAACGCAAGCTTTTGATTAAATCAGTGACCCTGATTACCCTTCTGTACATCTCCTTGTGTGCCATCGGGAGGGGTCTGAAGAGAACATGTGTGGCTGAAGCACTTGCTGTAGTAAGATGATTGTCAAGCTGAGTCTTGGAAGTGTTTTTGGAAGCTGAAGGAATACATTTCATGGAGATTTGCCTTCCTCAACAAGCAATTGTAGCAATATGCTATTGAAATACCAGTCCTGAAACTCATTGAGGGAGGGAAACTGGCAAAAAAGAACTTTAAAACAGGTCTTTAATGGCAGCATAAAACTTTAAGGGTTGAACATCACGCACTTGTAAAAGCAGAAGGTCTAGGTCTGCTGTGCAGGTGTCAGGAGTAATTATTTCCAGTTACTTATTGAGAAACACTTTAAATGTTTTGACTGCAAAGTGTGAAGGTCTTTGCCAGAAAACTCTGACATTGAAGAGGTGGAGGGAGGAGGGAGAGGATAGGAAAAAATAAAATAAAACGAGAGAGAGAGAGAGAGAGAGAGAGAGAGAGAGAGAGAGAGAGAGCGAGAGCGCGCACGCACACACACACACACACACACAGAAATAGAAGAAAACACACAGTGCATTTACATTCTAGTGAAGCAGTTGTCGTTTTGACTATTTGTAGTCTGCCAAGACTGGTGACCTTAAAGGTCAGGCTCTAATCCACTGAAGCAAAAGAGAACCTAGCCTTCAGCTTCAGTGGGTAATAAGCCAAGTTACAAAAATATGATTTACTTTGATAGTCATTCTCACATTTGCAGCTGGATTTGAAAGTGGCGGGTGCTTACTGCCCGTTTAGCTCTGGAGTCACTCAAATCTGGAGTCTCAGCACTGAAATGACTGAAATTCTTGGTTTATTTGTTTGCTGTTAAGTCCCTCGAATTGAAGCTCACCATTTCCAGAAGCACAGAGGATAGATCTGAGAGGTCCCAAATAAGCCACCTTACCCTATTGCAGGATCAGCCTTACCTAAACCATCCATGACAAACGTCAGTCTAACCCTTCTGCAGTCTGCACTGACGGTGAACCTGCCACTCTTGCCAGGCTCTCCGTCCTAGTGCTTCAATACCTTCACCATTAGAAAGAGTTTCTTCTGTCAACTTGAATGTCCCTTGTCTGAGTGTAACGACCTTGTCCACCGTGGACATGGGGAACAGGGACTCATCTCCTAATAGCAGAAGCTATTGGCACATCCAAAGTCTGTTACCATGACCACCTTCTGTTCATTGAATATCCTCAATACTTTCCTTGGGTCCTTTTCTAGACCTAGAATCATAAATGCTCTATTTGCGGAAGCCTGACTAAGCATCAACTAGAAAGCACAAAACTCTCTGAATTTTTCTGTGGGCTTTGTTTGGCTTCAGGGACCATCAGTGTAACACACTCTCGCTTATCAGTTCCTTAGGCCTAGTGCTTGATCTCTTGTGTGATAGCCACAACAGTGATTCTTCCCTAGATCCGATCCCCTTGTTAAAATGTCAATACTAGTTTTCAGACAAAATTTGCGCTCAGCTTCACGACTGCCCCCATCCCAAAAGACTGGCTGAGTCAAGTGTAAATGCCCCTACCTGCCTGAACACATGCTTGCTTAGCACCAAAACACCCAGTTCTACCAAAGAAGGATTAAGGTAGGGTTAGGGACAGCTACAAAATTTCCTGAAGTGACCTGTATTTGAAGCCAAATGCTATGTCTCAAGCCACAAGCTTTCCTTCACTCACTCTCTGCCCATCTCAGAACAGTGTCTAGTGCCCATTCTCTCCAGGTCAACCAAGAAAGGTAAAAACCAACAACCTCAGGCCCCCACAAGTGAGGCTGGCTTACTTACCCAGGTGACTAAGGGCCTCTTTATCCCATGGCCAGGTGGCAGCACCTGCCAATTCTTCCCTCACTGAACTGGCAAAGTAAACATTGAGAAAGTGGGTGCTGTTCAGCTGTAGCGCCTCCTTCAGCTCCTTCACACTCATGTATGCCCTGTAAGGACAAGAGATGGGATACAGTCAGCAAAAACATCAGTGGAGCAAAGAGGAAATGCAGGAAACGCCCAAAGAGATCTCCTAGGAAAGGGTGCAACAGACTCTATCCTCAGCCCTCTGAGACGAAGAGCATCTGGGAAAGCATGACAAAATTTGGCTAATTTCAACAGGATGTCCCATGAGACTACTGACTCTGCCCCATGAGGGCTTTGGGCAGGATGGAGTTATGCAAATCTGAAGAACTTTTACTAGTAACAGTAGCTTTGTTGTTATGGCTGAGTTTTACTCATAGAGAAGGTTTTGGAACAATAAAGACAGAAAAAGCTCTAGAGAATGGAATAAAAGGAGAATAAGTGGGAGGAGAAACAAAGGGAGAAGAAAGGAAATCACAGAACCACAGAATAGTTGGGATTGGAAGGAACTCCTGGAGATCATCTTGTCCAACACTCCTGCTCAAGTAGGGTTAGCTAGAGCTGGTTGCCCAGGACCATGTCCAGTCAGGTTCTGAATAACTCCAAGGATAGAGATTCCACAACCTCTGTGGGTAATCCGTTTCAATGTTCAACTGATCTCATAGTAAAGAAGTGTTTTCTTGTGTTCACCCGGGATTTTCTGTTGCAGTTTGTGCCCGTTGCCTTCCATCCTGTCACTGAGCACCACTGAGAACAGTCTGGCCCCATCTTCTTTACATTGTCTCATCAGCTATTTATGCACATTGATAAGACCCACCACCACTGGTCACAACCCTCTGAGCCCAGCAGTTGAGCCAGTTTTCAGTCCACTTCTGTCTGCACTGTTGCCTTCTGCATAGGTCAGAGGTCTGCATCTGTTTTCATCGATACACCAACAGTCCTAGTGCTAATCTTTATGGAGTTCATGTTCTGAGCTAAGAGGATCAGGAGCTAACTTAATAATAATGCCAATAATAGTAGTAGTGAGATTTCAGGGCCTTGGGCTGTGCTACAAATACCATATATTAATCAAGTACGACCACCCCTACCGTTAGTGCCACTGTCTCATTGGCCGAGACAGTGTTAGGAAACGTGTCTTTTAGGGCTACCTTTCCCAAGAGTCTTCAAAATCTGGGGAGCCTGACCCACAGTTTGTGAAGCTGTAGGGAAGATTTAATTAACTCAAGAGACTTCTAGGGGGGAAAAAAGGCATGGAAAGGCTTCAAATATATCACCATGGAAGGGTGATGGAAATGCACCATTGTGGAAGTATGTCATAAGAATGACTAAATCTGCAGCAAAAGGCCAACAGCAACATTAAGGTAGTGGAAAGCATTTCACTTATTCCCATGCTTCCAGGAGCAACTGGCATCTTCAAGCTGCGTGGTCAGATTATGAAGAGAATGCAATCATTTCTTTATACTGGACTAGCCTTGAAGGCACATCAGCTATATTTGAACTAGCAGCTTCTGTAAAAGTGACATCCCTTAGCAGATTCCTTGCCACATTGACTTATGGAAGAAAGGACAGAAAACACTAAGCACAGGCTAAGGGAAAAAAACGCATGTTCTCATTTGAGATCTGAAATGAGAAAGAAAACCAATGAGAGTGAGAGATGTGCAAATACACTGTTTGAAATGGCAGGATCCCTAGTGAAGAGTTATTGTATCAACAGATTTGTTCAGAAAGAGAGAGGTTGCTACAGCAAACGTAGAAGGAGGAAAATTTTACTAAAAAAAATAGGGAAACAAGATTCCCGAAGCAGGCTAGAGCAGGATGGCATGGGGAAAGAAGGGCTTCAGGGCTTCAAACACAGAGGTGGCCACTTCCTTGGATTTGAGATGGCAAAGATTTTCAGAAGCCATTACTGACTTGGGAAGTATCTGATGGTCAGCATCTACTGCATACCTCTCCTCTACCAATCAGCTCTGATAAGCTATTGTAGGCCGGACATCTCACCCACCTTTCCAGTAAAAAAAGTAGCTCCAAAACTTAAGTCACTTGAGAAAAACTTGGCTGGACCATATGGCAGAATTTAATGGTGGGATGAGATGACCAACTTGTCTTCATCAGGCCCCAAGATCTCCCACCACAAAGCAGCATTCCCAGAACGTTTTCCCCAGCCACATCAGTTTGTGGAGAGAAAACACTCCCAACCGGAAATGGCAAATTAGGATAACATGATCCCTTTTCTGTGATGTCTCGCCTGAGCATCCCAGACACGCGCCACGCTGACGCCATCTCTTCAACCCAACCAAGACGGGAGTAGAGCTAGAGCAATAGATAGGGAGAAGAATAAATAAACCTGAAGGACATATTTGTGGCATGACTCGGAAGGAAAAGAAACAAAAATTTCATAGAAATAGAGTGTAAAGGGGGAAGAAGGGGGAGAGAAAATCTTCCTCGTGCACCAAAGCTGCTCGGGGGACACAGACTTAAAAATAACGTTGATTCCTGACCTATGATATCTTGGAAAAATAGCCCCAAACCCTTCCAGGCTGCACAAATTCCGAGAGCTGACGTCAGCCCTATTCAGAGGGATATTCCCGCCGCCTCTCTTCTGGAGACATGATGTTTTTCTGGCTGTCGCCTGCTGTTCCCTTGACACTAGCAACATTTTTTGTCTACCCTTAATTATAAATAACTATAATTTCCTCCATTGAGAGATTTGGACAGTTCAGGGCAGTGTCAGGGGTAGGGGAAGCAGTTCCAAAAGAGATGCTCAGATAGGTTGGATGGAGAGGGAGAGGAAAGGACCCTGATTTCACCCACTGTAATGAAGCAAGAACAAACATCATCCTGCCAGCATCCCCAAAGACATGAGAAAGACCAAAACAAATCTAGAATGGGCAATTCTGATTCCCCTCAAGCCACATTTCCCACTGTCATCCTTAGCTTAGACATTTAACTGGCATCTTTGCCTGTCATTTACTGCCAATGTTATGCTCTCCCTCTTCTTCAGCATTTCTGCAATTTTCCCTGGGGGGGGAAGGCAGAACAGCCTTTGGTCCCCACAAATGGGGTAAATGACAATCCTCTCCTCTGCTCCCCAAATAGTTTCCCAACTCCTCCAAGGCTGGAGGATTCCACACCAGATGATATTTATGGCAAGGTGGGTGCTGCAAGTTGACACGCAAACACATGGAGGGCCAGAAGAATGCATGAAGGCATAGCTTTCAGCCAAGCAGCAAAAACAAAGAATAGAGCAGAAGACAGAACTGAGGCAGAGAAGGGTCACTGAGTTTGCCAGATCCAAAGCAAATATTTTTCCAGGAACATACAAAACTCATTGGTGAGCAGCTACATTTGTCCTTCGATTACCTTGGTAACACCACCTTAACCTGGTGCAACACAGATGAGCCTTTACCTCGAGAGAGTCAGCTGGCAAAAAGAGTATATGCACCAGTAGTCAGGGATTAGGGAAGGAAGGCCTACAGACTGCTGTTATTAAAAGTGACTGTGGGCATGAACACCATCGGAAATAATGGTATCTGGAGGAATGATGCCAGATGTGGGTGCCTCCCATAGGACAGGTGCTCACCTGTGATACTGTTGACTTCAACAGAGCTCTCCTGAATGACACTAGCTGACAGTCTGATGCAAAAGCAGGCTTAGATACCACACTGCATACCAATTTATTTGTGGGACTCATGTTTGGTGTAAGGCAAGATGGGGAAGAAGCCTAGACCTTGTATGGCTCTACAGCAGCGTGGTAGAGCAGCACTGATGCTTCTGCGGTCCTGGTGCTGGGTCAGGAGCACTTGTCTTTGTATGGGACGTAACGATATACTGTCATTGTACGATATTTCAGACTATCAAGACAGGAAAGGAAGACAAGAACTCCAGCAGCTTCAGTTACTGTATCATTAGAGAATGGTAAAATCAGTATCATAATTTAGATTGGAAGGGATCTCCATGGTTTATCAGATCAGATTGCTCAGGGGCATGTCCAGCTGAGTCATGAACATCTCCAAGGATGGAGATTTCCCCATCTGTCTTGGCAACCTGCTCCAGCATATAGCCACCCTGACAGTAAAATAAATAAATACAAATTCTAATATCTAATCAGAATTTCTCATGTTTCAGCTTCTGTTATTGCCTCTTGTGCTATCACCATGCAACTCCAAGAAGAGTCTAGCACCATCTTTTGTGTACCATCCAATCACAATCGGATGAGTATCACTTTTCATGGAAAACTATTACTGCCCCAAGGGCTCAAGACCTAAAGCTTTCTTTCCTTGTGGTTGAAAAATTGTGCTCTACCCATGCTGCCAAGCCTCTCCGGAGAACCTTCACACCCCTTCTCACACTTCTGCCTTGACAATTTTGTACTAGCCTGTGGGGGTGGCAGTATCTTTCTACTCATGGTTGTAAGTCAAGCTCTGGACTAGCTTGGTAAAAGGAGAAAGCCTGACATATTCTGGAGAGACAGAGCTGTGGTTGCTTCTCCAAGCAGCAATAATAGGAGTGCTGCTCATGCACAAATGAGAAAGGATTTGTTAATCCACTGGGCAGTATAGGACAATGACACTGTAACACAAGCTGAATTTGGTTTAAGGTGGGAGAGGATGAGCAAGAGGTGCAGGTTTTAGTGATAGCCATCATAATGGGAAGACTTGGGGCCTTGCCTGACACAAAAATGGTGAGTACCAGTGAAAGACAAATGGTGGCATTTCTGAATGAAAAGCAAGGCCATCATGTACCCCATGCAACATCATAAATCAAGCTGAATTCTCTGGGTACTGCAAAGGATACAGTGTGTAATGCCACAGGAATTCCACTGCAATTCAAAAATAGGAGTCTTCTCCCTGCAGACATTTCAGAGGGGATGTGGGAGTGGGGTTGGATGGAAGCTGTCCAAGTGCCCTCCATGGACAGCTGGAAAATACTTGAGATCCAGCCAGTTCCAGGCTAACCATGAAGCCTTAATGAAGTCACAGGGGATTCTGGCTCTGCTTTCATGTCCCTCACCCACTGCAAGGAAATTCCTCTTCCTACTCCTGCCAAGCAGGGAGGCTGCCTTTTTCCCCAAAATTCTGCTCGACAGATGAGGAATTCCTCAGACTTCCCAGGAGCAAGACCAGCTTGCCAGTAATTTTTTGGTTTGGCGGGTATACTGACAACATGCTCCACAGAGGTTGCAAAGGGTTAACACAGCGCACAGCAGCTTAACTTCTGAGGCACTCAGCTGAAAGCAAGAGCCACAATTCAATCCATGAAGATAGATGCTGAAATCAAGTGGCACGAACTATTTTCTGAGGACAGGCTCTCTAAGCTCTCTGTATAGTCAATGAAGAGAGACACTCCTCCAGATGGCAAGTCAATGTGAACATCTGAGTCCTGGCAAAGGACTCCTTTTCTTGTTGACACCACAGGAGGCCTAAAGAGACTATCTTCCAAACTTAGGCTCTCGTTACACATGTGAATCCTCTGTGCTAGCATTTGTGAATCCCCACCTGTTTCCAACAAACCAGTTAACAGGTGATGCTCATCCCTGCTATGCTGCTCCCTTCGACCCTGCCACAGGCAGACAAAGCCCACTCCCACAATGCAAAAGGATACGGTACCGCATTGGCACAGCACACAAGCTGATATGGGTTACTCGATCTGCCTCCAGACCAGACTGATGGTGGTTCTCATAACTACAGCTGCCTCACGCTCTGGGTTTTCCTTCTCTGAAATCTCTTGCATTGTTGCGAATGGGGACATGCTATATTTTTTAGATGAAAGCCGAAGTCCTCCTTAACCCTTAAGACTATTCCCATCCACAAGACTGTGGCCTAGGAGCTCTGACTGGGGGCCAGCACTATGCTGGTATGCCACAAACATAATTGCCAGCATCATGACAACTTCACAAGGCAGTAACATCCAAACGACTTTCACTCAGCTGGCAGGCCCTGGTAGCAGAGGCAGATATGAAACATGCCTGAGAGGTTCAGGAAGGACTGAGTAACAGTCAGACATTCCCCTGGGATCATGAGAGGCACAACGATGCTGGAACAATGCCCTCTGTAGTCAACAAGAGTCCCTCATCAGCTTCACTGGGTATTGGACACTAGCCAAAGAGCTCAAAGTCATTTGGGTACACAGGGGATGAGGGCATCGCATACCTTCTTGGACCTGCCTGGGAAAACCCATCTCTGAGGCACTGACACCATCAGCCGAAGAATGACCTAGAAAGCAGCAAGCAGCACTGCATAAAAGACAGAGTTTAAAATTTGCATGAGGGGCTGAGGATCAAGATGTCAACAAGAGACACAGGGCAAAACTTACGTGATGGCCTTAGGGATCAGGGGATTCCTTTATACATGAGCAATTGCTGTTGCATTCTAAGGTAACCCTCAAAGTCCCTGTGGGAGGTGGATTTGGCTTCAGGACGGAAACAGCAGGCTTGGAATGAGTTGCATTAGCAGAGCTGTGGGCTCAGGATCAGAAAGACAAGAAGGACTCTGATTCAAGACTGTGACCTCTTCATGTAGATTTACTGGGGAAAGAGACAAAGAAGTCTACAGACCATTATCCACATAGCATACCTGCTCCCAGTTCCATCAGATGGTTGTGCACAACTTCTTGAGGTCAGATTTGGGTAAGAAAGGCAATAACATTAGCACTAGACTAGAAAGCCCTAAATGGCATTTTACCCTGAGATAGGCTGAAGAATAAATGCTACTAACAATGGTACAGCCCAGCTATTCGTGGAAGTGCTGGCTAACATAATTATTCATTAAATTGTCACGGAACCAGCAGAAGGCAATGCTATTTAAGACCTGCTTTTGGTAAGCAACGTAGAAGTTATAGAAGAGTTACGTGAGAAAGAAAACTTTCAGATTCATTTAACTGGAGGGATAAATGCAGGTCTTGAACTAAGAACAGAATGGGAGAAACAAGACTAAGTAGCAGACAATGCAACACCCAATAGGGCCAGGGAGAGCAGGGGTGAAATGAGAATTCTCAGAAGTCAGTCTGACTCCAGTGAAAACAAAGAGTAAAGGGTTCTTTTAGAAATAATAAAAAAAAAAGTATAGAAAAAAAAGTAGTGCATCTGTTGGGCAGGGAGCTGAAACTCAGCATAACTGAGATGCATCCCTGAATAAAACTAATATATGGTCTCCACCTTTATTTAAGACGGTGAGGTAGAGTTTTAGCTCTCTTCCAGCAAAGTACAGGAACATTAAAATCATGATACTGGAGCTAGAGAGACAAAGGTGGTAGCAACTGGATGAGGGCAGGGTGTCTGAGGTGACATTTGGACTAGGTGGGAGGGAAGGTGAAATGCTGAAGATGAAAAAAGCAGGACCGGGAAGCACAGCAATGAAAATATTCAGATGGGGGGGAAAAGAAAAACTCTGTGGATGCAGTACATTTGCAGTGGGGCCCTGGGGAAATGCCACCCTGCATCCTGAAGGATTGACCACAGGCCATATGACTGAAGAGCAGCAAGTGTGATACATGCATCGGTATCTACAAGAATGAACAAATATCATAATGAGACAAGCTGATGTGGTTGTCCTCACTCTAACAGGTCTTGAATCCACCTGCAGATTTCAACAGACTTTGAGGTATAAAGGTCTCCACATTATTAGTTCCACCCTTCCCTCCCATCGCCGCAAAATCACAGAAATAGGAAGTTTGATGGAAACAAGAGACTACGTTTGAATCACCACTGAACAATTGATGGAAAGAGGGATTTAGCTTTTCTCACGCTCAACTGACAGAGCTCCGCCTGACAGTCACACCTTTTTAGGTATCAGAGAGCCCAACAACAAAACAGATCCATTGGGACTGAGATTTCCTTAACACTTAAACACAGGGAATGAAGTAGATGTGATCAGCTGGAGTTCAGTAAATTATAAACAATGCCCTCTTTGGGAAAACTGAATAAACTGGCAAAGAAACCAAAATTTTTAACCAGCTGAGTCGACAGATCCCAGATACTGCAGATGTGAACATGGGCAAAGGCATGCTCTATATGCTGACGTTTCTCTTGAGAAGCCACAATCAGACATGAAGGACTCCTCTTTGCCTCCTGGCACCATGCCGTGGCACCCGACTTTAGGAAACCCATGTTAATTCCTCACCGCCAGCCTCTTCAAAGCCTGTTTGCTTTTTAGCCATACGCTGTTTCCTCTCTGGATCTTGTTATAGCTCTGTTGACAGCTTACGCACAGAGTGAGGGAGCAGGGGCTTGTTTTAGGGCTAGCTGTACTTTGCACACTTTGGAAACTCACATTTCGGAGGCTGGACAAGCAGCTCCTCACTTGATTCAGCCTTTACAGCTCCCCAGACACACAGGACAGGCCCTGACAAACTTTGCATAAACGGGAATAAATGGCAGCCTGGAAAAGCGTCTCCACTTATCTGCTGAGGTGAAAGGGGGACTTCCTAGCTAGTGAGAGCAAAAGTAGAAAAGCCAGCTGTGCCACTAACAGCTAGGTGCTTACTGCTGTCTGAAGGAATACAAGCATCATCCATCTGTCTTGACAAGCTCTCTGTCTCAGGAGTGGTTTACTCCAGGCTGCACTCTCATACCACCACAGGCAACCCTCAGGAGACACGTGCTCATGACTACACACGTGCACCCCACCAATAGGTGTTCTGACCTCCTCTTCCAAACACTGCAGCTCGCAACAGGAAAAGACTGCCTTCAGATACAGCCTTCTCTTGTGGCTTTTCACAAGGGACTTTGCCAAATTTGAGGCTTCTCTTGGAGGATGCTAAACCATCTGCATCAATCAGCTCCCAGCCTCCAGGACTTCTGACCAGGACTGCAGGAGTCGGGAATTCCCTCTCTCTCTTCTCTGAAAATACCAGGATGTTCAATTGATCTTTCTTCAGCAAAGCCTAAACTAATAGGAACGGATGGGCTGCCAACTAACTTCCTCAATCTCATTTCCTCCTCCACCTGACAGTGCCTTGAGCTCTACACTGGAGAGGCAGCTTGGCTTGTTGGCTTGAAAAATCATATTGATCACATGCGCATCCGATGCTTGGATCACTGAAAGACACTGGTTTTATGATGTTTGCATTCTTAGGCTAAGGCCAGCATACTGCCTCACTCCCCTGCTAGCTGTCACGCAGATGGTGGACAACACCACCTCCCTGATGGGAAGTGGCTGCAACCCAGCACTGCTGATGGGCGCTGCTTAAGCATCAGGACAGCTCTTTAAGGAATCCCAGCAGCTGTCAGAGGGAGAAGGGCACTGCTATGCTAAGGCAGTTGCACCTCCAACTGCCTACTCAGTAGCACATACCTCAATGTGCCTGTGCTGGTTTCCTAGCTATAACTGAGATAGGACCTTGCTTTAGGACATCTACGGATCAGGTGAGGTTTATGAATCACTCATGTGTCCTAATTTACAACATACCCACATAGGCACCACCATTTTGTCCAAGCTGCGTTTCTGTTGCCCAAGAAACCAAATGGCTGTGTGGCTACTTGAGACACCCACACTGCGGAAAGCATTAGGACCGAAAAACAGATCTCAAGGGAGCGAGGGGTCCTAATGAATCCTGTTGGCTGTGTGGCACACGAGAAAAATCCCACAATATTTGCTCTATAGATAGATGTCTACCCTTTCGCAGGAGCAGGAATCCACATGTGCCCCCTTTGCTTTCCTCAGATTAAATTTCCTTAGAAAGTGGGAGACTAATTCACCACCTCGGCTCCTTGATTCCCAGCCCAAATCCCATCCAGCATTGCTGTGTTGCTGGAGGAAAAGGTGCATCTTTTTGCAGTGGCTTTTTGGAGGAGGCGTCTAAACACAGCCCCGTACCACAGACATCGTCTCCTAGGGAAAAAGTGCTCAGAGAAGGGACAGAGCAACGGGAAGAGGAGTGTTGGGTTAGAAGCAGGCGCACACGCACACAGCAGAAAAAAACAAGGGCTGCCGAAAGGGAGCAGAGGGCTGCAGTGAAGCTGATTGAAGGAGGCATGAAGGGAGACAAAAAGGTGAAATCAGGCCTCTGGCTCAACAGGAACTACCTGACCTCTCCCTCAGATGGGGCACGGCAGCTTTCGGCTGACGCCAGCAGCCAGCCCGTGTCTTGCAAGTTATTTCTGTTTGGCAGAGACAGTAAGCAGTGAAGCCCTAATCAGAAAGGACAGCTAGACTGCAAAGCTCCCTCATGAACCTCTAGTTATCTGCTGAGCCAAGACACAGCAGTCAGGGCTAGGACCCCTTTCGCCTCCACTGCTATTTCCCCACCATGGTGCCTTCCTTGGGGGAGGCCTCCAATTTCTAAAGGACACAGCAGCCACGCTGAAGGGTCTTAGCCCCTTGGGTCACCTCCTGAGGGGGATCTGCCAGAGCTATGACCTCCTCCTTCCATTGCCAGTAGTAAGTAGGGATATACAGTGCCTCTCCACTCCACATCTCTGCAATTGCACGGCATGAGCTGCCCTGTTTCAGGACCTCACACCTCTCATTACCCATGCGCAGAAACTCAAAGAGCTACCAGGAACACATGAAGAGAGAATCTTCCCAACACAACCCCTTCTCCTCCAGCATTGCAAGCCCCCAGCCACCAGCCTTCCATCTCTCAAGCCACTTCTCACCCAGAGGCAACTCACAAGGATACTTTGCAATCCCACAGCCTGCTTTAGGATCCATCACAACACCAGCAGCCCTATCCCAGAGAGCCTCTACCCCAAAAGAGAAAGGCAAGGACTTGGAAAAAGAATACCCTCTTCT